GTTTTAACCCGAGAACAGAAATTCTTGACAAGAACAAGTGTGAAAATAACGTATGTTATCAGAATCAGTACCGAAATAATCACTATTATCTTTAGCCTCACTGTGGGCGCCAAACTGTTTACCTCGAAAATACGAGTAACAATTAAACTTGATTTATGATTTTAAAGATATGTGATTTAGTTCAATACTAATTAATAACCAAGAAAACTAACGTATAAATGAAGGAAATAAGTAAAATCAAACCAGTGTGCAAGACAATCTCGACCTCGAGCTAAGGTGGCCTCGAGGTTGGTTAAGAACAGTAAAGCAATAACAATCAAGTAAAGAGACAATTCTGATGAAATATGAGCCAAAAAGTAAGAGAGTATATTCTTTGCCAATGATTGATGATGGTTACAAATGATTGGGGTCCTCTTTATATAAGAGAAAATCTCACTTTATACCCATCAATTCCAAACTATTTACCCTTTAATGCCCAGGCCCAAACTATTTACTACTCCTACCCATGCGGCCCAAACTATTTACCCGGTTATTAACTTTGTATAAACTCTTCCACAAGAAAGAATCTGAAATACAGTGAAACAAAAAAACCAAGAAATAGCAAAGAAAAAGGTAGCCATGGATGCGGAAGAAGGAACACAACAACCCTAGCTAGTTCTTGTACACAAACTCTTCCTTTTGACACACCCAGATGTTAATGACTTGGATAAAGTTCGCCTCCATGAAGAAGACTTGGACAAACTCTTCCATTTCCCTTATATCCTTCTTTAAAAAGAAATTAGATCTGATTATCTGAGAAGTTGACCTCTGGCTAGTTTCAATGCTGCTCCACTTTTTTGATTATTCTTTCCCTAGCTCTTGCTCTTGCCTTGACCCTTGAATTTAAAATTTATTTTGAAGATTTCTTGTTTGATTCAAAGTGGGTGTTGTTAAATATTGCTTATAGTACCTTCTGGAAGTTCATACTGAAATTTGATAGCATTTGGAGCTGATTTGAGGTGATTGAGATCGAATTTTTCAGCTAAAAGTCGAAGAAGAACACAACTACAGTATACCGCTACGATATACAATATGTTGTAGGAGTATATAGCTATACTGCAATAGTATACTATTATAGTTTACAATATACTGCAACGGTATATTGTAATAATCGAAGAAGAACACAGTTACCTAACAGTATACTGCTACAGTATACAATATACTATAGGAGTATATAGTTATACTGCAACAGTATATTATTATAGTATATAATATATTGTTATAGTATACTGTAATAATATGTAATATACTGTAACAGTATGCTGTAAAGTATACAATATACTATAATAGTATACTTATTACACGTAAATTCACTTGCCTTTTCCCTTTTAATTGGCTTTAAGCTTTTACCCAGCGTGAGGGGCAAATTAAAATGCAAAAAAATAAAATAAAAATTATTATAGTATGATATATAACATAACGGTATACTCTTACAATTAGATCCTTTTAGAATTTTTTGAAATTTTTATTGAGAACTGATATTATTTCAGTTTAATAATTGGATTAAATTCTTTTTAACTCTTTGTGTATAATTGTATACCCTGTTGGTATAGCAATATACTATACTGGTATCATATGTTAGTTAAAATTTTTTGCTTGTATTAGCTACATTTAATTGGTACACAATTTGATTTTTCTTTAGTAATAGTATAAAACACGAATAATAAAAAATAGTGAAAACAGTAAATGAAATTAGATTATGAAGAGAAAAAGAATATAAAAAAAAGAAGTTAAATGAAATTAGAAAAGGAAAAAATAAAAAAATAAGAAGAACCCGAGAAAAAAGAAAAGGAGAAAAGAAAAAAAAAAGAAAAAAAGAAAGAAAAGAAGCATAGAAATAAAAAAAAATTAGAGAATAAAGAAAAAATTCCCCACAAAAACTACTATGGGTAGGAAATGTAATTAGTTTATGGGTAGAAAAACAAATGGGTAGACCAGGGTAAATAGTTTTATTTTTGTGGGTAACTGTGTCAAAACCCCTTTATATAATAGGGGAACCCTAATTAAGGTATATTTCTATTTACAATAAAGAATCTTATTGGGACGGCTGTCTAACCGCCTCGTACGGATTAGTACTAACTCGTGCAAATATATTCCGCCATTTACGCCACATCTTGGGGACGTGACAGGAATCTTGCTCATTTTGTTACAAAGCCACAACGGCATTATCTCGAGGCCGGCCACGTTCGGCCCCGATATTCATCGGTCACTTTGATCTTCGATCTTCGAACTCTGACATCGGCCTCGAACCCAGTGTACTTCGGACCGATTCTTGAAGTGGTTCCTCGAGCCCACTAAATCGAGAATACACCCATCTTTGTTTAATTTTTTTTATATATTTTTTTTCATTGAATTTGTTTTTTCGCTTAAATACAATTATCTCTTACTCTTAGGTATTGTATTCGACGGTAGCTTAGTCATTTGTATGTATTTATGTTTACTACAAATATCTCATTATTTGTACATCTATTATCCAGCAATATAGGACATGGAGTATAGCGGTTTAACAACAAGTGAGATTTCTGTTCATATGAAGTATTTGAAATCGCCTACTCTATGCCTTCATAAGATTTCTTTACTCCTGGTTACGTTTTTCTAATTACAGAGAAGGGGAGAACAACATTTAATCTTCATCTTTTTCTAATCTTCATCTAAATCTAAGCAAAAATATTCCAGACTATAATCAGGTCAATGAAGAAGCTAACTAGTTACCGCCCACCAGACAAGTTGATGCCAGATTTGGACTTGTATCTAACAATCCGAGATAAAATATAAGTAATACCAGAATTATTTATACCGAAATTTGATATTGTTTTTATACCACATTCAGACATGAGATGACACTAAATGGAGTAACACTGGCAATTGGTGATTCAATAATCGACCCTAATTTGTTTGGTACTAGGGGGATAATTGTTGTTCTTGTTGTTATTGTTGTCTTATACCATATTTAACGTACGTGGGATACCAATCTCGAGGTTAGCTAATCCAGGGATAAACCAACCAAATAAGCACTTCTCTCAAAGTCCTTTAAGAAGGCCAATATTAAAATTAAAGAAATAAATATTTATCCAAACATATCAGGTAGAAAGCCTAACATATATGGTCTCATTGTTAATCCAATAGACCAACCATCTATTAGTACAATAACCCACTATAACAACAACAACAACAAACAAACAGTAAAATCACACAAGTAGGGTATGGGGAGGATAGTGTGTACGCCAGAGCGGTTGAAAATTGAACCATAACCGTTAGTCGAACCGAACTGATGACTTATTGGTATCGGGTTATTCGGGTAATGGTTGGTAAACGGATTGAGATTTTATAATTAACGGCTTAACGGTTTGGAGGCGGATTACTCAATTTTCATATCGGATAAACCGTTAACCCGTTAAGAATTTTTATATTTACACTTTTACACTTATGTATATAAAGTACTATTGGATTCGGCCTGTGTCACTGACTACCGTGCATATGTGATCCTCTGTTTAGAAATGCACTTTAGCGTACAATCCTTTTACAAGTGATTGCAAAGAGCTGCCCATAATAGTAGAGCTTTAGGTGCAAGAATTGGGCTTTCAATTTGGTTTTCATTGTGAAAATAACACGGACTAGCCAGTTTTCGAACTGACAATTAAAAAATAGCCAGCGTTTGCAAAGTCATTGGAAAATAATCACTATTTTGCTGCAACACGAAAAGTTCCAGCATAATATACTGGAGATTGGTGCACCTGTGTATGAACTTCTAGCATATTATGTTGGAAAACACAGAAAGTTCCAGCATAATATACTGGAGATTGGACCACCTGTGTATGAACTTCCAGCATATTATGCTGGACCAATATATTATGCTGGAACTCCAGTATATTATGCTGGAAGTTTACATATAAAAAATTCGAACTCTAGTATATTATGCTGGAATATTTTTCGGATTTTGAACAGTGTTTTCGTTCAGATTTATCTTTACATGAAAAGTGCTAAATTTCGATTACCTTCAAAACTATGGTTATTTTTCAATTACCACTTGTAAATCTGGCTATTTTTGAATTTCTCGCGTTTTTCTCCTATTATCAAAGAATACATGGTGATCAAGATAATATATTATGCCAGTTTGTATCATGATGACCCTTGGCTCTCCAAATTGGACTTCAGAAGTTCAAGTGTTTATTCTTAACTATGCAACCAAAAGAACTAACGTTCAGTTTTTTATCTTTGATTAGCCAATAAACCGTCCGATAATCGTTAATCCGATACCAATCCGCCCGTTGTCTTATAGGATAGCTAGCGGATTACTTCATTCATAATCCGATAACCGATAAGCCGAACCGTTAAGCGTAATACTCCGCAGGATAACACCCCTAGTGTACGCAAACCTTACTCCTACCCTGGGAGGTAGAGAGGGTATTAGCCTGTTTGGCCAAGCTTCTAAAATTAACTTATTTTGAAAAGTGCTTTTCAAAAAAGTGCTTTTGGGGAGAAACTACTTTTTTCTACTTGTGGTCCATGAATTTGAAGACCCTCTCTTCTTATGCTTCCAAGAACAGGGGAGAGGTTGGATTCAAACTTTTCACTTACCGAAAACAAAGGCTGCTTTCTGAACTGTGCATAAATGATTGAATGAGAAACATAAATCCATATTCCAATTATTGATGTCCCCTCATCTGATTTTCGAACAAGCTATATTGGGATAATAATGTGGAGATTATAATTGGAGATTAAACAATAATTGAATTATATAGTGGACATATTGTCTGTTTGGCCAAGCTTCTCCAAAAGCACTTTTTTTTTTCAAGTGTTTTTTTTCAAAGTTGAGGTGTTTGGCCAAGCTTTTAGGAAGAAAGAAAAAGTGTTTTTGAGTAGAAGGTTTCCTCTGAACATATTGTCTTATAAGAACTGCCAGATTGTTTATCCAAAGGTCTAAACAGGGGGTTATAATTACCCCCATTTCATCCGACCCGTAAAAATATCCTCACTTCATTAACACAAAAAACAAATCAACATCTCAACATGATACATCCACACATATCATCTAAATCCAAACATTAGTTCTTGGATACCGGAGCAACTGCATCTAGTAGAGCTGACTTAACACCAAACAAATTTCTTTTCTAGTCTAGGACTTATAGTTTTGGAAATTAAATTAATCCTGCAACTCCTCCTGAAATGTTGATCTGTGATCAGAAATGTCTAGGCGGGATCTTGGATGAAAACTCTTGAATTACTGTCTTTTGAACATTTGAACTGTGTCATGAAAATTTCCTCTGAACATACCATATTATAAGACATAAAGGAATAGCCAGATTGTTTACCCTAAGGGAAAAACTGTCTAACCAAATTACACAACGAGATACCTGTATCCAGATCTTACACCAAAAGCACTGATAGCAAGCTGCATCGTGTCAACTCCAAGGAATCAAAATCTTCGAAAGATATTTGAAATCATATGCTGCTGCCTGCTTTTGTCCATTGACGTCAAGTAACTGCATCTTATGGACAGAGCATAGTTCAGGTTCTCTGCTTAAGAGTAACTTCATTGATCTGCACACGAGTTTTGGGTCGATGGTGGTCATCTGTATCTACTTCTTCGATTTCCTGAATAGCCATAACCAACCATCAGCATTAAGGTGGGGAGAGAAAAGAACAGAGAATACTAAAATTCTCATCGCTAGGCTTGACAATGGGGTTTTGGCCAGTTTCCCGATGACTTATCATTCCTTCATGAACCATAATGAAATAATTTTCCAAATATACTCCCAGTATGGACTTGAATTTTCACTAAATATTAAATAGTGTGGAAATCCGGTGAAATATCGAATCTCTAACTCTGTCCTTTAACCTCTTCATGCAAAAACTGATAGGAAAAGGAAAAGGATCTATACCTGGACAACCTCTTCTCCCTTGATGACACGTCCAAAGACATTAATCTTGTCATTCAGATCCGGGATTGGTGCTGTTGTAACAAATAGATCAAATCCTCCACCTTCATGTTTCACCTTGGAAGTACCAAGCATAAATGCTTCGTGCTTAAGACTGAACATTATGATAGCCAATTCAGCGATGAGAATGAAGCAAGGGGATCCCAAGGCAACTGTAAAAGACACAATAACAGCAAATGATGTGCAAGGAAGACCTTGGATCCAGTTGGCTATAATGTTTTCCCCTCAAAGTCCATTCTTCTGTAGCTTCAGGTCTTTCAACTTTACTACCGTGGATGACAGAGTCCTTGATTACACGAATAAATTGCATCTCTTTAAAGTGACCCTTCTGACTGCAAACACATAACAACAATATCATACTTAAGTATCCATGTGAATCATCAGCAAATGGACCAGCATGCCAAGATTTTTATCGCTCTTGTTCTAGGCATCTAGTTGAGGCAGCGTTTTATTTTGCATCCATTGATTGTGAAGAAACTAAATACACATTGTAATGTCCTTAAAGATTCTGATTTTAGGATAAAGCAGAAGATGAGTTCCTAATGAGGAATTTGTGACAAGCTGTCCATAGCAAACGTTAGAACACCCATGAATCTGCAGATTGTTCTCAAAGTTCCGAATCAAATATTAAATTTCAGTTCAATAAGAATGGGAACGTTGAAAATTTGGGGTTCCAAAGAGAAGCATATAGCCTGAGCATGGATTAAGTGGTGGAGATTCATGAAATCAACACTAACCTTTCATCAGCTTGAAACCGTGAACTGCCACAACCACAAATTGTCAAATTATCAACCCCCCGACCCCTCCTTAAAGGAGAAAAGAAAAAGGTAACGATGGTGAGATTCAAAATCCATCTTTCCTGTGCTCTTATAATTGTCATGGGAAGGAATGAAGAAGACTATAGATCCAATCAAACATATGAATCCCTCTCTCTCTCTTTTCTCTTTTTTCCTCTCAAAATCCATCTTTCCTGTGCTCTTATAATTGTCACGGGAAGGAATGGAGAAGACTAGAGATCCAATCAAACAGATGAATCCCTCTCTCTTTTCTCTTTTTTCCTCTCAAAATCAGGGAGAAAATAGAAAGAACAGAAAAAAGTGGATTTAACATGTTCAAAAGCTTTTTATCCCGACCCTATTTTCCAAAAATTGAAACCTAGGTAAATGTTTCTTAAAAATATGTCCCAAAAAACATCCTTTCGCCCCTTATTATTTCAATCGCAGGTTGTTTTGAATGTTTTCTAGGATCTCATATAAGCACCATCCCAAAATTTCTCCTTCTAGAAGCATGTGTACAAGTTACCAGCTGCTGCATGTGAGGTAGGGAAGAGATGAATGCTTGGACTTGTCAACTTATTAGACAAGGTTGCTTGTTAGATCTATATGAACTAGGAGAAATTTAATTGCCATCTCTGTTAAAGAACAAACCAAAAACAAAAAAGGAAAGAAAATGAATGAGAAGGTATACCAATTACGCACCTGAAGTCAATGAATTCATCAACAATGTCAGGAGAACCATCCTTGTAAAGTTCCACGGTTATCAGGCCTTTCGAGGTGCTTATAAGCTACCAGAGATATAACAAGTTAACAAAGTCTAGGAAAGATAAGGATTACAAAACAAAAAAACCTTGAAATATGCAATTATAGCCAATAAAAAACATAGAGGAAAACTTCACATTTGAAAGAGAAACAGCGGTATCCTATCATATGCTATAATGCAAGGAAGATAAGTAGATAAATTTTACCCTTGACGATAGGCAAAGATATAAAAAAAAATTCTTTATCAATTTTTTTTCCCCTTGAATGAAAATGACAAGTTAATATTGAATTATACCACCAATAGACTTGAAAAACAAGCTAGTAGTATGACAGTGCTTGCTGACTAGCTAAGTGAGATAGAAACAGTCATGAAAACCAGCTCCGCGAGAAAGCAGGAAAGAGGATTTTCTGAACTTACAGCGTATTTAGGAATATCAGATTTCTTTCGCTCAATAGCCTGCAGCAAAGAAAAAGGTAAAGATATACATGAGTGCAAAGGAATATATAGAAAGGCAAATGCAGTTTCTAGGATTTAAATATGAAGTTTGCACCCAAGGGTGTTGCCTAGCAGTAAATAAAGTGGGTGAAAATCATGGGAGTGCAGGGTTCAAATCCAGCAGAGACAAAAAAGCAAGGCGATTTCTTCCATCTGCCTAAACCTTGGTGGGCAAAAATACCCAGTGCATGTGCTAGTAGAAGTTTACAGGTACCCGGTGGAATAATTGAGGTGCGAGCAAATTAATCCAAACACCACACTATTGTAAAAAAAATGATGTATCTTAGTCGAGACCAGAAAAAAACTGCATAAATTGGTCACTGGAGCTCAAGAAAGAATATTTGCAACTCCCGATCAAATATTATCTACCAACCAAATTAAGTGTTGTAGAATTATTCATACCTTGCTGGTAGATAGATCATCCTGTGTCTGAACAATTGATCTAGCCAGAAAATAAGAAGGTCCAAGTATGAGGAAAAAACATCTATTCAAATGCATCTTGTTATAAAATATTCAATAAATGTACAAGTGAGGCATTGTTGATGAAACAAATATTCATCCCATATCATCCTTCCTCAGCAATCATACATTATTTGGAGTTCTTCACACCAGAAAATTACTAAGTTTACACATATTATGATGGACTCATGCAACACTTGGATCAGCGATAATAAGGGGCTCAAAATGAGCTCTTTCTGTCGAGATAAATTAATAAATAAATAAGAGTATGGATAAAACTTTAAATGAGGTGGTCACTCAATGTAACATGAAAGAAGCACAGGCAAAGGTCTTGAGTTCAAATCTCATTGCTACCATTATCTAAACAAGTATTTCTATGTGCTTAATCCAAGACCTAAATAGTCCGATTTTCCTCTAAAAATATGAACTGCCCTTAGATAACCACGTCTAGAACTTTTCGAATACTCTCTTACAGAATAACAGTCATAGAATTCACAGTTCTCCTCCAAGCAACAGCATCCGAGCTAATCTCTGGCTGCCGTTACCACCTTAGTACAACACCACCCGGCCATCAACTGCACATTTACTTCTCGATTAGACTGTCATTTACCCTATGGTAAGTAGCATTAGCACTAACACTAGTTTTGTGTCAGACATGGACAAGCAAATTAAAAGAAGTTAGCAAGTTGCAGAACATATGATACAAGAATATGATAAAGGTATATTCTTATGTCCATAATTATTTTTCTATATAGACATAATTTAACCCAAAAAAGGAAAGCTAGTAACAAAAAGGCACAAATAACATACTTCATTTGGAAACTTCCCCACTATCATAAAGACTCGTGTCATTTAATATCAAGTAATGATTGGAAGAAGATCCAAAGTAGCACTTCCTCCGTTACTTTTTATGTTGACTGGACATGAAATTTAAAACAAAGGAAAACTGTTACTAATATATAAGCTAAATAGATATGAAGAGTAAGAAATTTGCCCTTACTACTAACTATTATATGGTAAGAGTTCCACACGTTCATGTCTTTCTCTCTCCTAACAAAATATCAACTTCTAAAATAGTATGTTAAATTAAATAATTTCCAAGTGCATAAAAATGTCAATCTTTTCTCGGACAGAGTAAAAAGAAAATAGTTTCACATGAAGTTAGACTTGAGGAGTACCAAAATACTTCTGAAAAAGAAAAGACGCACGACTAGAAGTCTCTTAGTATCAAACAATGTGAAAGAGTTGCAAAAACACTATATTATAAACATCATTATTGTCCTTATTTCTGGCACTCCGACAATATGGTCCCCACAAAAGCAAACGAGTTTCTGGAATGGATATATCAAAACTCAAGAAGCTCATGAAATGGACATGATTAGGTTACTGTTGGACATATATAGAAGTGGTATACAAAAAGTTCTGGTATTAATTTTCTGTACAGTGCAAATATGGAACCAGAAATTAGGGCATTCCACACCTTGCACTTTACATCCATTCAACTACTAGCTAGGGCCATGCCATATCCAAACACTTTGTCACCTCACTTTTTTTCCAAATCATCAATGAAAAATTGTATGAATCAGAAGCATTACCAAAAATGCCAAGTTAAGAATCTTGACAACTGCCAAAGAGAGCTTTACTCTCTGAAGCAAAGAACATTGCATGAGTTCAAAAATATTAGAAAAATAACAACTTTCTCTGTTACTCCCAGAATGTAGTTTCGTCTCTATACTTATGCTATACGTCAAAATTTAATCTAAGTAACTACATTGTTTTCCAAGTCAAAGCTAAACAATCAAACGATAGGCAATAATAAACAAATTGAACAGAAAACTTAGATAATACAAGCAGCTCTGAACAATTATCCAAGAAAAGATTTTGACTAACCTTCGAAACCAGTATCTATAGGTAGAATACAGGGAAAACACCATCACAGCAACAATTAGGATGCATACTATAATTGTATTAACACTGACACCACTTGGCCCCTTCTTCTTTTTGCTTTGCAATAGAAGAGCTTGAGGTTTTATCCTCGCCATTACCTCAAGTAAGTATTAATCTCTGAAATTATCATAAAATTAATCATAATTCAAGTCAAAATTATCATCCCACCTTTTCAATTAAAAAACAAAAGAACAACACAATTCAGACTCGGCAACAAAATCGTACTTTAGATATGAATTAGACGGTATAATTAGGCCCCAAATAAAGTAAGTGAATATGACCTTCACGTCGCATAATTTTATTTGAAGCTCATAGTTCATTGCAAATACAAGACAAGTAAAAATGATTAAAAAGTGCATGTATTTCTAGCTATAAAATAGAAATGAACAATTACTTCATACACCTTTTTTAAACCGATCTGATGCTTGACCTCAAAACTTGAAATTACAAAATTTTCAGACAGTGAGATAAAATTCAAAGTTAGAACAATTTAAATAATATACCTGAATCGTCTGCGCTAGATTGAATTGCCTACGTTGGATTGATTGCTTTTCTTCGTTACTGTATCCTGCGTGGGATTAGGAGAAAGAACCAAGAAGGCAGTTGGTATAATTTTCAACCCATTCTTTTAAGTATGCATTTCAAACCCCCAAGGTTTAATGAATTACAAGTTAGTACTATTTGAAGTCCATTGAGTTCTAAATTGGGACATATACGCGGGTGCTCGGGTTACAAAAAAGAGTGAGTCAAAAACGTTTCATTTTGAAAATTATTATGCTTCTATTACGAAATTTAGCTCAAAGTAATAATATAAAACAAGAAAATAGATAAGAGATATAGAGAAAAAGAAAGGAGAGTTTCTTATTTCTTCCATGTATTCAAGTATCTACAATGTGATGCCCAAACCCTCTATTTATAGGATGATATAGGTAATACAAAAGGATGCCATAAACATGGTATTAACTATTGAAAACATGGGGGAAGATCATGGAGGTGTGGGAGTTACATCCATAATGGTAAGAAGTAGTGGGAGGTTAATGGAGAAGAGTAGTGGGTGTTACTCCCTTAGGAGTTATGGACATCCACCATAATCAAGTATTTCATAACACTCCCCCTTGGATGTCCAAAGATAATGTGCCTCGTTAAAACCTTACTAGGAAAAAACTCTATGGGAAATAATCCTAGTGAAGGAAAAAGAGTACACATATCTTGTAATACGCATTACTTGCTGCCTCATTAAAAACCTTGCCAGGAAAACCCAGTGGGATAAGTACAGCACATATTTGCCTCCCCCCGATGAAAATATCACTTTATTTCTCGGAGACGACGAATTCCAAGCTTGTCTAACAACTTCTCTAATATTGAGATCGGCAACGCCTTGGTGAATTATTCCGCCAAATCACTTGAACGAATTTCTTGAACATCTATTTCATCATTCTGTTGAAGATCGTGTCTGACAAAGAACTTTGATGAAATATATGATTTATTCTGTCTCCTTCAATATATTCTTCTTTCAATTGAGATAAGCAAACATCAGCGTCTTCACTATTATTGGAATCTTCTCTTCAAAGAAAAGTCACACATCTTGTGAAATGATAATATGACAATTCCTCACATACAAATAGATTGTTTGAAGAACAGACTTCAATAAATGCCTGCATTTGCATAAACAACAAAACCTTAACAATATTTGTTAGAATAAACAAATCTATATCAAGGATTTTTTTTGCGATATAATACTGATCATATTTCAATATCTCCATATAGTCTTTATACTTTCAGCTGTTGGGACTATTCGTCCAACTTCATATTTTTCAGATGAAGTCAATTTTCATTGCATATTTTTCATTTGGCCAATCATTTATTTGTCCAAATTCCATGACAGATTTGAGCTCAAGATCCTCGTCAACATTAATAGTATTGAGCGCCACATTATATCAACAACATTGTCGACGATCATTTAACGTCGGTTCCATCATCAGTCAATAAAGACATAACTTATCGAGATCTCATTATTTTCAGGTACATGAGCCTCTTCCATGAGGTCTTATAGAGTTTTATGTCGTGGTGCTCTTCTAGAGCACTTGCTCTTTATAATGACCATCTTGATCATTTGCTCCACTCCTTCTTCAAGGAGTTTTATCTTTGGAACCAACGTGTCATAGACTCTGTCCATCTTAGACTTTATTTTAGTTGGAGCATTAGCAGCTGAAATATGACATTTAGCTTTGGGTCAGCAGATGCCCTGGCAATATTTTGCAACTGAATTATCACTTGAACTTCAAGTTCACATTTTATTGTAAGAGGATCTACATGTACTCATAATAATTCATTCCATGTATTACTTTTTCAGCTGCCTATTTTCTCCCCCTAATGTTGGGATCACCAACACATTTTTCAACCTTCTTTGGGAACCCATATTTGTGCGTTGTAATGGGATATTAAATCATATCGCACATCCATATTTCTAGATGGAAGTTATTTGGTTCCTGACCCTGAACCAATTGTAACAGGGAGAATTTATCATAACTTGTTGGCAAGATGCGTACAAGTGATGTTGTATATTAAATAATATACCTCATACCAAATTTCGATTTGGGAGTTTTATTCTCATAACCAATGGTTTAGCTTAATTAGAGGCATACAATTTCTGCTAAACCAACTTTGATTTAAACCAGCATTATCAAAATAAATTATCATAATTTATATTCTGGAACTGTGCTCTAATAACTTGAGCAAGCAACCTTGCAAAAGCCAAACTGCAAGTTGACAACAAACGCACATGTGACCATACAATAACTGCATCTTTTAAAATCATATAATAGTAAACGGTCCACATGGCAGGTGACTGGGGCCATATATATATATATATATATATATATATATATATATATATATATATATATATATATATATATATATATATATCACCTTTTATTCGTTTTAGATTAAGGGATTGAATCCCAACCTTAAGTAGCACAAGAGAATTCTTGAATAATCTTCTATTTCTTCAATATATACCAATGTGAATTCTCAATTAATTTTTGCATCATAATTGAACCGGGATGGCCAACCGGTCGTGCCAACTAATATTTGTTTCAGTAAATATTTAATTTACTATGGCATGTGATTCCATCACCATGCTTATACATCTGTAATACAAATAGAAGAAAAATCGGGTAACCTTTCATATTTATCCGGTATGATTATAGTAATATGAAGATATTCAATCTTCCTTTCATTTATAGTCTCAATATGCTAACCACTTTGGCTAATATATTTGGAACTCAAAAAGTTCCTTTTTGAGACTTACTACCATCAATACCATAAATAATTTTATTTATTCGGGTAGTAACAAATTCGCTCTTTCGGAGCTCTCAATAATTTTGTACTACAAGATCTTTTATACCACCATCCAGTGGTGAATTTTTCCTCCACACAAAAAATTATCTTATCATTGTCACGATAAAAAATATTATAGACAAGACTCATTTCTTGCTTTACTTTTGCCTTTAATAACTTTTTAAGGCATGGCAAAATATTTTCGGCGTACCACATGTACACGACCAATGACATATTTGTGTAACCACATAGTAATGTTCATGATCTTTATTTCTCTTAAACCTCCCGTAGAGGTGAGTTGTAGTATTTATTCAACCATGCATAAATACATTCTTGTGCATAATTTGTATCACATATATATTTCCACACTCACTTCAGGAATGAGTCTGCATTTACAATGCTTATCACAAGTCGCATACTTTCACAAAAATGGACTATAATCGTCTGAGCGTGTCTCATATTTACAGACCATATTGATACACAATTCCTTCACCGTTGAAGGATTATTTTGAGAACCCTTATTGCTCTCCTTTTTTACATTTACCATAATGATGACTGTTGTTATTGCCTTTGGCACGCGCACGCTCATTGGTCAACCACTTGTCTTCATTTAGACTTATTATGCACCGCTATCACATTCACTTCAAAAATGGAGCAAATCAAGTGGGACAAGCTTCATACTTTTTCATGAAAAATACATTATTTTTCATTAGTCATTATTATATCATCAATATGGTGCATTGGGGACTCAAACCCAATGCCTTACCCATATAAATGCATGTTAGCTTTAATGAAGTGGAACTCAAATCTAACTCTTATCATCATAGTGCACCAGGACTTGAACCTGATGTCTTAACACGACCAATTGCATAATAGGCCAAAGTGCTTCGGGACTCACCCTCGAGCCTTTAAATTTGGCAAATAAATAGTGGATATGCAACAAATGACGTAAAATTTGTTGATAAAATAATAATAATAGTAAAACAATTGTATACAATGATTGAAAATAATGCACACTACATTAAACAATTTAAATAAATATACACACAATATAAGCAGCATGATGTGCTATGTTAATGTAACAAATTAACATATACAAACATGCATGTACAGACTATACATTAATGATGATAAAACACCGACCAAGTTGCTGTAGAATACATCATATAGTCTACGTATATATTAATTTTAGCATTCTGTTATTATGTTAAGCATAGTAGTCCTATTTGATCAGTCGGACTTTGATAATAAATTGTGATATAGTAAACTAGATATTAAAGAATGATCTCTAGCTTGGAAGTGATAAATCACCCCACCGAATTCATGTCTTTTTAGCAGAATATAAAATTAGATATTTGTGGATTAGTAAAAACGCATAAAGACTCTTACCTTATATGTGAAGAAAGTTTAACAAAGAGTTACCTAATGGCCTAAAAGGTATGAGTAAGCCAAGGCGTGGAAGTAAAGAAGCACATACAATTTGTTCTTTACCAAGAATGAGCGATTCGTGCTGATAACGTATTACGAAACTTAGCTCAAAGTAATAATATATATAAAACAAGAAAATAGATAAGAGATATAGAGAAAAAGAGAGGAGAGATTCTTATTTCTTCCATGTATTCAAGTATGTACAATGTGATGCCCAAACCCTCTATTTATAGGATGATATAGGTAATACAAAGGGATGCATAAACATGGTATTAACTATTGAGAACATGGGGGAAGATCATGGAGGTATGGGAGTTACATCCATATTGGTAAGAAGTAGTGGGAGGTTAATGGAGAAGAGTAGTGGGTGTTACTCCCTTAGGAGTTATGGACATTCATCATAATCAAGTATTTCATAACAGCTTCATACTATTTAGGAAAAAATTATTACAAAATACAATAACTTTGTACAGCTTCAAGATATATAAGTCATTTTTTTGTATACCTTACTGGTATACAACAGTTTTAGAATTTTGTATACTCAGAAGGTATACAACAGTTTTAGGAATTTGTGTACTTAGAAAGTCTATAAGATACATAACTTTTACAATGATTTTTTAAGGAGCAAAATTTGTAAATGAACGCCGTAGAAATGACACCACGTAGCCATGTTAAAGAGATGTTATTTAGGAATTAGTCTAACATGTCCTGAATTTCAATTTTTCAGTTCAATTTTAGGAACATCAGGTAGTCACGTTAAATGACTCAATTTTTTATATGAAGAAGAAAGATGCATTTGCAATAGGGATGCGTTTTAGCGTTCGATTTTATTTAGCGGGTGGGCAGC